TTTCTCAATAAAATTAATAAAAAAAGTTAATAACATAAGATAAATGTTAAATAGGGTTTTAATCTGATAGTATATTGATTTACTTATTCATTTATTGAGATCTCAACTAAATAAAGCTCAAGTAGCAAAACCAAAAAAAAAAGTGGAAGACAAGAGAGGTGGAAAGTAAGAGCTGCAGAACTGGGGCTGCCATGAATTTGAGGCCAGCATAAACCACTTAGGGAGTTCAAGTTCAACCTTAATTAACCTTGTCTTGATCTATCTGTCTCTCTCTCTTTCTCTGTCACACACACACACACACACACACACACACACACACACTATGACCTGCCAAACAGGAAAGGAAAGCTAAACACACATACTGTCAGTGCAAGCAAGACTTGTGTATTGAACATGCTTTGTCATGTGTGAAGGTTGCTTTAGATGTGATTATCGAACCAAATACTATTTCTGTGGTAGTTTTATTGTTATTTTTGTTGTAGTTCACATAAGATTTTTTTTGGGGGGGGTCATTTTGAGACACGGTCTTGCTGTGCAGTTCAGGCTGGCCTTGAGCTCATTTTGTAGCCCAGACTGGTTTTGGACTCAAAATGATTCTCCTGCCTCAGTCTCCTGAATTTTGGGATTGCAGGTGAGCACTACCAAATCCAGCAGAAAAAAATTCTTTGAGACAAGGCTTTACTATGTCTTTAGATTGCCCTTGAACTCACTATATAGCCCAGACTGGCCTCAAACTCATGGCAATCGTCCTGCCTCATCTTCCCTCAGCTGGGTGCCACTGGACCTGAAAAGGCTAAATCACCAGCCAAGCTGCTAAGTGGCAATCACAGAATGACTATCACTTTAAGGGAAATTAAGCAGACACACAAGCTTAAATACCACATGGCTCTCTCCACAAGGAATGTAATCATTACATACTACAAACATGTACTTAGAATTACATTTTAAAAATACCTTCAGAACGTCAAAAGGAAAGAGAAACTGGGATAAGGGAATGGAGAAAAGAAGGAAGGGCAAAGCAAAAAAAAATTTATATATGTAACTACATAGGTTTGCGTTAATATGTTTTGGGCAATTAAATGCTGATATCTTGTATTCTGAGTAACTAAAGATAACAATATGCAATGTATTAACCCTTCTGTTATCTTATTCTGGAAATTTATTTTCTGGCACTTTTGGGGATTTTCTGTTTGTTTTTGTTTTGGCGGAACCGGGGATTGAACTCAGGTCCTTGAGCTTGCCAGGCAAGAGCTTATTCTTCTGAGCCATCTCCCTGGCCCCGGGTTTTTTTCTTTAAAATAAAACTTTTTTAAGGGCTGGAGAGATAACTCAGCGGTCTAAACTATCCGCTTGGCAAATGCAAGAACCCTACAGTGCGGCCCTGGAACCAGGAGTGGTGGTGCATGCCTGTAATCCCACAGCACTAGGGAGGCTGCGGCACAAGGATCACTAGGAGTCTGAACTGTAGCGAGTCCCTGTAGGAAAAGATTTTTTAAATTTTTCTTTAAAATTTTAAAAGATGGTTAATATAGTCATACTACTAATTTCATTTACTTCATTGAAAATAAAAGTTTGTGCTAGTATCGTTTGGACAATTAAATGCCAATATCTTGTACTCTGGATAAATAATTTAAAGATAACAATATGTGATGTATTAATCACTGTTACCCTCATATTATTTTGTTTTGAAATTTTGTGTTTTTTCTCTTTAAAATAAAAAACCCAACCCCTGAACTGCTGTAAAAATGTTGAAATATTTTGAAAAACATAGCAATGCCTTGTGAATGATAAAGTCTGTTGTAATATTCAAACAAATAAAGTTTAAATAATTTAAATTTAAATTTAAAAATAAAAGAGTACCTATGCTGTGACAAAACTGGCATGCGCATGCCCAGATCTGTTACCTGCAAATCTTGGGAAAGGAGAAAGGGGCGGGGTGGGGCGGGGCTACGTGGAGAAAGTCCTTTGTCCCCTTTTCTTGCTCACAACTCGCTGGTCCCAGTTGACGTGAGCAGGGGGCGGGGCTTTTACCCGAAGTGACGCAATTCTGGGCGGTATCATAATACGCGACCCAACGCCAGCTGGGTAAACACCTCCTCTTCCGGCTATCTTCCAGGGTGGCGCGCCGAGTCCAGGGTCCTACGGGCAGCTTGAGTGGGGGGTTCTCAGGGAGCGGGACCGCGACGGCGGCCCCGCGGGCGGGATGTTTCGAGAGTTAAGTAAATGGTTTGGCCTGCAGTCACCAGGGACTGACGGCGAGACGTGGCCGGAAGACACTCCGCCCGAGCAGCGCTCCGAGACGGCGGCGCAGCCCACGGAAGAGCAGCGTCCCGAGGACCAGGAGCTCCTCCACCAGGCCAAAGGCCTCGGCAGTGAGTGTGACAGGCGTCAGGGTCGGAGCTGACCAAGGGCGGCGCGCTTGGGGTGCGGCCGGCTGGCTACCGCGGGTGGGGGACAGGGGAGGAAGGCGTGTCACCTAGCAGTCAGATCCTGCGCGTTTGAAGTTCCTGGTGGCGTGCCACTTTGTTTTCTGTTTTACTGTTTGGAAGGGTCTCTCAGTGCAGCCCAGGTTGGCCTCAAGCTCTCAACGATCATACTTCAGTCTCCCGAATGCTCGGATTACAGGGCGCACCACTAAACCCGAGTGACGGGCTACTCTTTGCAAAGTTGGTACACGTTGGAAGCAAGGCTACAGTAACGCACTGAGACCCGGCTTCTTCGTGGTCAGATAGGAATCGGATTCAGCCTCGGGTTTTCACCTTTACCTTCACCCGCAATCCTTGATAAACTCGAGCTGCTGGGAAAAGTGCCCTTTCGCCCTTCCGGAGTGTTAGGTGAAGTAAACCGTCAGTCTTTTTAGGTGCAATGGGGCTTCTTAAAGTGGGGAAAGAACACCGGTTGCCTGCTGTGCAGGTCGAAGTAGTGTTTGTTCTAGGAACTCTGTTAAACACGCCCAGTGAGAGCCACGGTGGCTCCGCCTGTAATCCTAGGCCTGAGGGAGGCTGCAGCAGGGTGCTGCCTGGCAAGTTTGTGTGGCTCTGTGGTAGAGTGCCCCAGGACTGAAAAAGAGGGGCAGAAGCCCAGAGTTATGGGGCCAAAATGTAAGTGGTAGAAGTGGGATTTGAGCCTAGATTTATCTTAATTTTGAAGTTCTTTTTGAGTTTGCAGTCTGGTGGGCCCCATAGGCAGGAAAAATGCAAACATGCTGTAGTAATTCTGATTCCGAGAAAACCTGGGCTGTCTTAAATAGTCCCAGAGGAGGTAGGCGCTAAAGCCAACTGGCATTAAAAGGGAGAGAACTGCAGAACTGAATGTTAAATGTAGCAAGCTTTCTTTAAGGATCTGTTATATGGGGAAGTGGGGTAGAGAGGAAAAGCACTTTTTTTTTAGTACTGGAATGTATCTCAGGTCCTTGTGTTTTTGTTTTGTTTTTGTCTTTTTGAGACTAGGTCTCACTACACAGTTCAGGCTGGCATTGAGCTCATTTTGTAGCCCAGGGTGGTCTTATACTCCCAGTGATCCTCCTGCCTCAGCCTCCTGGGTGCTGGGATTACAGGCATGCACCACCACTACTGGCTTCAGGACTTTGTGTTTACCAGACAGGTCCTGTGCTGCTGAGCTATATCCCAGGCCCCTAAGAAAGACCCTTCCAAAATGTTTACTTTGAGTAGAGAGGTAAGGACAACAAGTGTCTCAGATCATGACAGTGTGTTATCTCAGACCAAAGCTCCCAAATCCTACCTAAGAACAATAAAACTAGGTTCTCGAGGCTGCATTTAGTTGGAATAAATACGAATGGGGCACAAAGTTAAGAATGTTTACTTGATTTCAAAGAAAATAGACATTACCAACATCTTAAGGGCTTCCTAAATTTTAGAATTGAGCCAGGTGTGGTGATTCACACCTAGCATAATCCCAGACCTCGGGGATCACCATAAGTTCAAGGTCAGCCTAGATGGTGAGATCTTGTCTCAAAAAAAAACCCTACAAATAATACAAACACAGGGCTGAACAAGATAGTTCAGCAGACTAAGCCCTGCTTAGGCAAGCGCAGGAACTGGGGTTCAATCCCCTGGCATCACATGCCATGCCAGCCCTGCCCTCAGGCATGTTGAGCTAGCCACTGAGACCAGGCCACCAAGACCCGGCACGGTGGCACATGCCTGTAATCCCAGCACTGGAGAGGCTAAAAACAGGAGGATCACTACAAGTCTGAGCAGCATAGTGAGATCCTGTACCAAATATATCTATCTAAACCCACAAGCCAGGCATGATAGTACCAATGAGAGCTGTCTTAGTGTGATAGACTTGTAAGTAATTTCTTCTAAATACCGTTTAATGCAGTTTTACAAAGAGTGGAAGGAAAGCTTCTAACAGAGAAGCGTGGTGGCACACACCTGTGATTTCAGCACTCTGGGAGACACTAAAGGAATTTCTGTCTGCATACACTGTAGGCTTGAAGTGAAGAGAAGGGAGCAGTGGAAGTAGGTAGCCTCCTGTGGTGTCATAATCGCCAGCTGGTGTGGTTGACAAATATATTCTCTCAGACCCTGGGGGAAACAGTGGACTTACAGAACTGGGATTTGAACCCAGGGCTTTCACATTGAGCTATATCCCCCTGCCTTTTTCTATTTTGAGCTAAGTTGCCCAGGCTGGGCTTGAATTTGCAGTCCTCCTGTCTCAGCTTCTCAGGGTGCTAGGATCATAGGTGTGCATCACTACCCCTGTGGGTTGGGCTGTTTGCTGGTAAAGGCTGTGGGCAGTTGGGGAATGGGTCACCCCGATGCTAGTGCAGGCTGCCCCATTCCTAAAAGTGATGCCACACACAGGATGAGGATGTAGCAGGTGTGCTGAGCTCCACTACCCAGCCCAGGCGCTGGATCTCCCCAGACCTCCCCGAGGTGAGGCTGTTTCCTAGGGGACAGGTGTTGCCAGGGAGAGCCCAGCAGCCAGCTCCAGGCCTGCCTTCAGGCCAGCTGGTGCCTGGATGCAGTGAGTGTGGGCTTCAAGTGGCCTTTGTCTACCACTGAGCCTCTAGTAGTGCGATAGTAAAGCTGGGGCACAGGAATCTCTCAGGGCCTTTTAAAAAAGCTAACACCAAAAAAAATTAAAAATTTTATTTTTAAATATTTTTTATTGAAACAAAAGCTAAGCATGTGGGTTGGTTTATGAAGATGAAGGTTGGGATCTCCATTTTTACTTCTTCATTTATTTTGGTACTGGGAATCGAACTCATGACCTCGCACTTTTGAGGCAGGTGCTGTGCCACTGAGTTGCATCCCCAGTGGGGTCTCCATTTTTAATTCTGTCCCACAGATCTGCTCATTATTAGCTCAGAGGCCTTCTTTCTGAGAAGGTTTACCAAGACTTTAACATTCAGAAGTCCCACAGATCTGTCTGGAGCTGGGCAATCTGGAAAGGGAGGGACATTGTGATTTTTACAGGAGGAAAATACAGGTGGGTTCCCTGGAGTGTAGAAAGGTGGAAAAGTATAAAGGCACCTTGTTCTTATTTGTAAAGTAGGAGGGGAGATTACCTGCTAAGATAAGAGAGAACTGGAGACTGGGGAGGCAGAGGACTTAGAAACAGCTGGGAGGGCTTGGGCCTTGGCCAGATGGTGACCTGGGCAGCACAGTCACCAAGGCCCAGCAAGGTGGTAGAGCGCCACCACTGCTTCTCTCCTCTCCTCAAGTCCTTGGCCCAGGGAGCCCATCTCTCCTTTTAGATTTCCTGTGGGACTTCTTCAAGGGAAAAGAAATCAGAAATAGCCCTCTGTATTGTGAAACAATGTAGTGTTTCAGCCACTTACATCGGCTTCTGCCAGGCATTGGGCACTGAAAGTGCTGCACAAATACAGGCGCGGGGGAGGGAGGCCGTGCAGTGACGTACTCACCACCCACTTCTTGATCTTGTTTGGTTTTGGTTTTGTCTCTTTGAGGCAGGGTCTTGCTAAGCAGCTGACCTTGAGCTCACTTCGTAGCCCAGGCTGATCTGAACTGGCAGTGATCCTCCTCTCCTCCCCTTCTCCTGCCTCAGCCTCCTGAGTGCTGGGACTGTAGACAGACGTGGGCCACCACGCCTGGCTCATAACCTGCTTCTTACGGGGACTTTGGAGTCTGCAGACTCTGAGGTCCCAAGAGGTCCTGCAAGAGATTCCCCAGGTCTAGGGTAGGGGGTGACGCAGTACCATGCTGCCTGAATAAAACATGGACTCTTGCTCCTCCACAGACTATCTGTTCAACTTTGCAAGTGCTGCCACCAAAAAGATAACTGAGTCAGTTGCTGAAACAGCTCAGACGATAAAGAAATCCGTAGAAGAAGGAAAAATAGATGACATCATTGACAAGGTAGATTTAAGTATCTTTTGGGGGAGGAAAAGAACAAATTAAGGTGTGATGTATATAAGTAACAAGTCTCCATGATGTATGTGATCATTATGTACTGAAAACATGGACTAAGAAAAGTAAAATATTAATATCTTTTGGAAGGAGAAACTTATGAAATTCACTAGCAGTTAGTATAATCATCCTTGCTCTTTAATGTTTTATTTGTTTGTTTGTTTAGAGACTGGGTCTCAATGGGTAGTTTAGACTGGCCTTTGAACTCACTATGTACCACAGACTGGCATCAGAATCTTGGGGACCCCCCTGCCTCAGTCTCCCAAATGCTGAGATTTTAGGCATGTGCCACAGTTCTGGGCTATGAACATTTTAAAACCCAAGTAGGATGTCATAGTATTCTGATTTTTAAATTTTTTAAATTTTGGGGGGAGGGGGACACCAGGAATAGAACTGACTACCTCACGCTTGCCAGACAGTCACTGTGCCACTGAGCGATATGCCCGGCCCCTGGAGATCAAATCCTAAGGTGTTCTGTGTGCTGCTGAGCTACATCCTTAGCCTATATAAAATTTTTAGTTTGAGACAGGATCTTACCAAGTTGCCCAGGCTGACCTTAAATTTGTGATTTTCCTGCCTCAGCCTTGTGAATAGCTAGGAATGCATGTGTACAGCACCATCCCTGGCTTATTTTTTTTTCCAGTGCTAAAGTGCAGGCCTAGGGAATTTCATTGATGTTGGTAATTATTTGAGCTAAAGAAATCATTAAATAAACCTGAAATATATTATTTATATATGTTTGTTCTGTGTAGTCTTATTGGAATGAAGCTTGACCTGTCTTTTTTTTTTATGGAACCAGAGATTGAACTCAGGCTCTTGTGCTTGCCAGGCAAGCACTTATTCTACTGAGCTATTTCCCTGGCTCCCTGTCTTTTATTTTTTATTTTATTTTAGTTTTTGTTTTTTGAGACAAGGTCTCACTATATAGTTCAGGCTGGCCTTGTGCTCATTTTGTAGCCCGGGCTGTTCTCAAACTCACAGTGATCCTCCTGCCTCAGCCTCCCAAATGCAGGGATTACAGACTCCTGCCTCAGCCTCCCAAGTGCGGGTATTACAGATGTGCGCCACCACAACTAGCCTCTATCTTTTTTTTAATAGACTAATATAACAGTTTAACTTTCTACCCATTTTATTTTTGTATTTGAAGAAAGAATGTGCCATTAAAGAAGTTGTATACTTACAATTCAAAAATTTTGAAGGATCCCTCCTTTTTAGAAAATGGAGGGCTGGGGAGATAGCTGCACAGTCTAAGCACCTGCCTAGCAAGCACAAGGACCCAAGCTCGATCCCTAGCACCACATGCCATGCTGGCCCCAGAATCCCAGGCATGGTAGCACACACCTGTAATCCCAGTGCTAGGGAAGCTGAGACAGGAAGATCATGAATCTGATATCAAATACATATATAAATAAATAGAAAATGGACATATATATTGGGTCTTAGTCTTTTTATTGAAAGAGAATGGATAAAGTATTTTAAATAGACTTTTAAAACCTGGAATATAATTCATGTAGTATTTCAAAGTAATTTGTCTTTGTGTATTTTCTTTAACAGACAATTATAGGAGACTTTCAGAAGGAACAGAAAAAATTTGTTGAGGAACAACACACAAAGAAGTCTGGTATGGTACCAGTTTGCATTAATTAACCTGCTTTTTTTTTGTCTTTTGAGGCAGGGTCTCACTGTGCAGCTCAGGCTGGCTTTGAACTCACTGAGTTTATAGCTTAAGCTGGCCTCGAATTTGCAGTAATTCTCCTGCCTCAGCCTCCCGAGTGCTGGGATTACAGGCATGTACCTCCACACCTGTCTAACCTGCCACATCCTGTCAAGAAACTATTGTATCATAGACGCACAGAACGGCCTTGAGAATACAGAGGTGTGAATGGGATTGGGGTGCAGCTCAGTAAAACGATGCTTGCCCTACATACACAAGGCCCCCAAAGTGTACAGGATGTCTATCATCTTTTGGTGCACAGAGACTTGGGGAGACTTGAGCAGTCTCTGAAGAGGGATAAAGCCGTAAATTTTCAGGGTCTAAAGAAAGGGAATGAAGCTGGGTGCGGTGGAATCCCAGCACTCAGGAAGCTGAGGCGGAAGGCTCACTCAGAGTTCAAGGTTAGCCTAAACAGATAGAGCAAGACCCTATCTCAGAAAACAAAGAAAGGATGCTAAAAGCAAAAAGTCACTGCCCACATGCCCATGAGGAAGGCCAGAGGGGAAAATTGCTGGGAAAACGCAGTGGCCCAACAGGCCCTGTCATAGCTATCGAGACACCAGAAGGGGGCGCCGTGGAGGCCGGGGTGTGGCTTGGGGCCATGGCTCACCGTGTGTGTGTGTGTGTGTGTGTGTGTGTGTGTGTGTGTGAGCAGAGCTGAAGGGCATCCGTGCGGGGGTGTACTGGTCACCCTGAGAGAGTGGCATCAGAAGAGTGGAGGGCAGGGAGTTCTCCACACTGGTACCCGGGCCTCGCCAGGCCTCAGTAGCCATGGGTAAGGGGAACCAAGAGAGGGGACTGAGCCCATTCCTGGCCACCCGTGTCCCCTCCATGTAGGTCAGGATGGATTCCCAACTTAGCACAAGAAGCTGTGGGACAGCCCGCCAGGGCTGCTCTGTGTTGTCTGGCATGGCACTGCAGTGCTGTCATCTCTGTCACATGGACCCCAAGCACACAGGCTACATGTGCAACATCCTGCTGTCCCCAGTGTTTAGCTCCCACCATGTAGCTGGGCTGACCTCCAACTGGTGGCTGTCCTCTCACTGCAGCCTCCCGAGTGGTAGGGTGACAGGCCTGTGCCAGGACATCCAGCCTCACTCTTCTTTTTTTTTTTTGGCGCAACCGAGGATAGAACTCAGATCCTTGCATTTGCCAGTCAAGCGCTTATCCTACTGAGCCATCTCCCCGGCCCCCAGCCTCAGTCTTCTTGTTTGTTGCTTCTGTTTTGTCATTTTCATTTACCTTCACTCCTATAGATCCTTCTCTCATTCCTAATCTTACTTGGTTTTTCTTCTATTTTCTTGTCCTGCTGTGTTGCTAGGCTGGCTTCTAACTCCTGGATTCTCCTGCCATGTGCTTTTTTTTTTTTTTTTTTTTTTTTTTTTTTTTTGTAGTACTAGGCATTGGACCCAAGGCTTTTGCACTGAGCTACATCTCTAGCATTTTATTTTATGTGGTTTGTTTTTATTTTAATTTTATATTTTGAGACAGGTTCTTCCCAAGTTACCCTGGTGAGACTCAAACTTGTGATCCTCCTGCCTCAGCCTTCCAGATTGCTGGGATCACAAGTGTATATCAGCACACACGCACCACCTTCTTTTTTCTTTTTCATTTTTTTGAAACAGAGTTTTGCTAGGTAGCTCAGGCTGGCCTTAAACTGAAGCAGTCCTCCTACCTCAGCCTTCCAAGTGCTGGGATTATCCCCCTTTTTAATAGAATTATTGCTTTTGTATGTTGTTGGCTATGTCCTTGAGACAGTTGGATTATGCATTCTTTTTTAAATTTTTCTCTTTTATTTTGCCAGCTCAGCCCACCCTGAGGGTGGGGCTGGCTCAGCATGTGGTGTCGGGGATTGAATCACGGCTGCCTAAGCTTGCCTAAGCAGGTGCGTTAGGGCACTGAGCTATCTCACCGGCCCCTTAAATTTATTTTTTAGGATTTTTAATTTTTAAGGAAAGTAAAAATTAGAATTAAAACAAAAAAATTACAAGTGATATAGAAGTTTTTTTCAAATCAAATTAATAGTTTTTATTTTGCAACTGTTAAAAATAAAGAAAACGTGATTATTTAATATTCATGGTAATAACATTTGCTTGATCTATAAGCAAAGACAGGGTTTGGGGAGGTCCTATAGTCATGACATATGACACTAGCTTACAATTTCTTTCCTCTGGCTTGTGATAAATATATCGAGAGCAAATAAAATTACAGGACACAAATAAATTAGACCCATTCTGGAAGTTTTCATTAAAATAGGATATTCTGTTCCATCGCCTCAAGCTTTTGCTAGAAGACTGAAGCGCATGTCTCAGAAGAGAGGCGGAGGTGGCAGCAGCATGTTAGAAATCACTGTCAATTGGAGATAGAATTTCACTTAACATAATATGGATTTCACAGTATTCGTTGTAATACATAGTGTTGTCTTCCAACCAGTTATTCATATTATGAGGTATATGTATGTAAAATTGGAAGAAGAAAGAAATTAAGAAGAAAAAAAGTATGCATTCTCGGCCAGCCAGCCACCTTGGCCGTCTGGTGGTTGCGCCTGCATTAAGCTGTCACATCTGGAGGCTAGTAATGCCCTTCTCCCCTTTGTTGGTGCCAGTACCATTGTCCATCTGGTTATGGTACAGTTTCTCTACTGTGTCATTAGATAGGGTTGCAAGAGGTACACCTGTGAAACTCACCAGTAAATCAGTCCTTAGAGGTGGAGTAAAACCTCATTCTCTAAAAGCAGAGATTGCAGTGCAATGATTATAATGGCCTCTTCTCCTTTCTTCTTTCCCACTGAACACTCCAGAAGCAGCCGTACCCCCTTGGGTGGACAGTAACGATGAGGAAACCATTCAGCAACAAATCCTGGCCTTAGCAGCTGTGAGTACCAGCAGAGCCCTGGGTGGGGCCCACTTGCTCCTGTCACCAGTGTCTGTCTCTGACACTAGGACCTTACCTCTGGCCAGCTCTATGCTTCTCTGCTGGGTTTTTTAAAGAACATTTGGACTTGTTAGGAATGTACACATCAACTTCTGCTATTTTTCTTACCAACTTTCTGATGTTTGATTTTTTTATAGTGCTGGGGTGTCAAACCAAGGGCCTTGTATATGTCAAGCAATGCCCTAGTCCTGAGCTACACTCCTAAGCATTTTAATTTCAGTATTTCCTTGAACTCTTTTTTCTTTTTCTTTTAACTTTAATTAGTGCATGTTTGCAATACATAATGATTACCTTCATCCTGAGGAGTATCCACATTACATACATTCTTTTTGTAAT